GGTGGCCCTGCACGGTATAGCTCATGGCTTCACTGAGTTACGCAAGCCCCTTCGCCACGACAAGGCAGTGATCCATGAAGGGGAAATCAGACTATGCAATGTTTAAATTATAACCAATCCTGCCAAGACAGACATAAACACAAGATGCAAAAGACATCTAATTTAGTCTATCTATTCTTATTTATGGTTTGACACGTTTCTCCAATAACTTACAAGACCTTGTAAAGTTATTACCAAAGCAAACTATGTATTTACACACATTATCTGAAAGTGGATATTGAAACTTTAACCCATTTTTATGGAAAAAATTGAAAGTATACTACTATTTTGGAAATAGTCATAACAATTCCACTATCTGGGTGCTCTTTGGGAAGCTGAGAAAAGGGACTGTGCTTTAAGTACTGTAATATGCTATATATTAAAGGATGCAGTAATATTTCTAAGATGCAAGGAAACAGCCAGGTGTAGTAACATGTAGAAGTCAATAATGCAATTTAATTTCTGCACTGTTCTCATTTTCTGCTTTCATATAAAAGTGAAAAGTCAGCTATGGAGAATATGCCAGTTCCAAATGTATCTTCTTTCACCTTTTGTTCACCCAAGCCATTCTGTTTGAAGAAGTTTGCACCTGCAAACATGCATTGCACATGGTAGCCAAACACTGCTCCTCAGGGCAGAACTATTGTTTGTTCTCATGACATGCATTTTCTCTCCAGATAGAACTACAACCACGCAGAGTCTAATAGAGCCTTTAAAAAGCCAACTACTTAGAACAATTGTCTTCTCTGCAGGCCATCTACAAGAACTCATCCCGTAAGAATGCAAAAGATCTAGCATTTTGTAAGCTGTCAACACCTTCATGTATTAGGACTAGAGCAAAAGGCTACTAAATCTATTGCTCATTTCACAGCAAAACAGTGACTTGAAGCAGTGACTGCATAGCAAAAGATGCCAAATTATCTGGGTTCTTGGCACGCTTTGGGAACCTTGTTATGTGGTTCTTAATGTGGGCTTTGCTGAATAAGAAACAAAACAACAGATAGAAGAGCAAATAGCAGGTCAGATCTTCCAGACACTGCTATCTGCCCATGGAGAGGTTGGTCAATGACTCTCACGTGCTTAAAACGTTCTTATACAGTATGAGAAATTATATGTGCTTATATCTGTATGTGCATCCATACGCTCATATACATTCAAGTTTGCGTCCTTGGTAGCATGCTCCGAAGCTCTGAATACATTCGGAGAGTGTGCGTGATCCCACAGTTCTACTCATCCATATTTGTAGTTGGCAGTGAATGTGAATGTGCTTATTAATATGAAATGCATACCAGCATGATTTTATAGGATTTCCAAGTCAATTTGGTCAAATCCACAAATACAGGAATGCATAGCAAAGCAGTTGTGGTATATTACTATTACAATGGATTTTCTCCCCTTCCTCCAAGAAGCTTAAATGGTCGATTCCAACTCCATGACATTGTTCATGACTTGCTGGAGGGTGATCAAGTGAGCCAAAAAAAGTTGGAATAGAGAGATTCAGCTTGAGATCAATCCACTCCAGTCTTCCAGTTACTTGCAGCGATATCACATGGTGCAAAGGGCACATGAACAGAGCCAAAAAGCTCATTTTATTTTTATTATTAAATGTATAGCTCTCTTTTCCACTTATATATGCACTCAAGGCAGCTTATAACAACAACCCTGTGGTTTTATGCTATGATCGTTATTTACCCTTTTCGGTATTCGAGTATTTTAGCAATAGAGAGACGCTTTTAATTCAACCAGGGAGGATCCCCGTGTCAGGACAACCCTGAACTGTTGAATTTTAATCTTAGAATATTTTTCCCTGCACAGGCAAGACGATTTTTTCTGAGGTTTTCTGGACGCCTCGGAAAGCAGCCTCGTTGCCCTTCCAACAGCAAGGCTGGTGGGCAACTCTCACCTGCACTCTCTTTGGCTCTTTTGGGTGGGTGTTTCACGTGCCTACTTACTCCGTTCCACCTATCTGCTCCCCGCACCTCCCGCCACTTCGTTACCTCCGCTTCCCTCTAAGAAACTCGACTCCCCTTTATTCCTGACACGATTCGTTTCCTCTCTCACACATCTCGTGCAACCCTGTAAGCTCCCTTCGAAGCATCCCCCCCCCCTTTTCAAATGCATTCTCGGCTCCGCTCCCCAGCAAGCCCCACCCCATAATCTGTGGCCGCCTCCACCCGGCCCCGCACTTTCTCCTCTTCCCCACTCGACCCTTCCGTTCGCCCACTAGACCTCCCGCGGCCGTCTATTAACACCTCCGCCCCCGCCGCCCTTCCCGCCTTCTTGCTCGCTTTCCTTCCTCTCTCCTTCACGTTTGCTCCTCACACCGGCTCGACTCTTTCCCGGGGCAGAATCGCTGCCCGAGTTCCTCAGCGCCGGCAAAGTTGGCCGAGCCGCCCAGGCAGGACTCGCTGGCAGCGGCAGCAGAGGGGGGAGGAAAAGGAAAGGGAAGCGGGGCCGAGCCGTCCCCCTCCTCTGAGAGCCCGTCCGCTCTGCTTGGGGCGGACGGAGCGGCGCTGCGCCGGCGGGGGCTGGCCCCTTTCTCCCCAAAGTGGCTCTCTCAAAAAGGGGGACCCCCGCGCCGCCCCCCTCCC